CACAAGCACTGATGATATCACCTCGGCTGGTGATGAAACGTTTGCAAACAAATTGCCAAGCTTGGCGAACAGGCGAAATGGAATTGAAGGATATGGCACCGAACCGAAAGCAGTGGCGCTCTTGTCATTTCTTATCAGGTCAGAATGCTTGAAACGGTATGTATGCGTAGTTCGATTGTGCATTCTGTGTCGATCATAGAGGTTCACCTTTTTCCTCCTTCAACGTAAGCCCAATCCCTGTCCACCCTAAATTTTACTACCAACGTTGTATGCATTTCGAACTTGGCATCGATCAGTAAAGTTCGCCTCAATGCATTTCGCTGTACGACGATGATGATTATGAATGTATGTATGTACTAGAAGAGAATTTCGTGCTTTTACAAACATTTTCGAACTGTTTGCTTGTTGTTTTACAATCGATTTCATCAGTTCATCTCAATCAACTCATCTGGTTCAGTTTATCTTCGGACACAGGCATATTCCACGGTATTTTTGAACCGGCGCCTAATTAACCGTATCTCGCCACGAGTGCAATGTTTATTCTTAAAATGTCATATTCAAGCTTAAAAGCTGCTGGTTGAGTAGAGTTAGTTTGCAGTTTATCACCGTTTGGACGAACGCGGGGTCGTGTTGGAAACAAGAACTGTGTTTTTCCCTCTGAACTTTTCATTGTAGCGTAAAATAAGAGAGGAAAAAGTAGGCGAGACGTTTTGTTATTTTTGAATGAGATCCACTTTTGGATCACACATTTCCCACCAAAATTAGTATCACCTTTGTACAGTATTGAGGGATTTTTTGTATTTTTCAATTGCATTGGTGGCCTTTTTTATTTATAAGCGGAAATTGTTATTGTATGTATGTGAATAGGGCAAGTTGGATAGAGGGGGAGGAGTCAAGACGTAGTCGAGGTTGACCGTTTCTGATTTCCGTTTGACAGGATCAGAATCGGGCTCATCTCGACCTGCGTTATATATATTCAGAATCTCTGATTGATGCGTTGTTCAGATGTAAACAGACCGATATGAATGTCGCTAAAGTCCAGTGAATAAGGGTGAATGGCATTCTCGTGTTAAGCAAGATTTCATCAAGCCTTTCGTCTTTCCCCAGGCAAATGGTAGACTGTCTCATCGGCCCGGCTGGCTCATGTTGTGTGTCTGTTCCCGTGCTCCCGCAGGGCACATTAAATTACTCTTACAGTCCAGTGCTTTTTGAATCGAATCGGAACACTCATGACCTCTGAACTGACAGAGACTTAGCATTCCGACGAAAGCTGTTCTCTGAGTCACTTGTTCTGTACAATTCTCTTTGTTTTCGTGATTATATACGGTTCTCGGATTTACGAGACTCCTTTAGTCATTGAATACTTGTGTCTGCATCCGTGTGATTAGCATTCCAGTGTAGTTCACTTCAGTTTGCGTTTATTGCATACAACAGCTGTCTTGTCCCATGAATGTACCCACATCGGAACACTGGCTCAGTGCACTCTGTCTCTATACTGATCAATCGACTTTAACTGCTCGCATTCCACACTGATTGTTCTCTATTCTCCCATCTCTATCTCTTGCCCTAATTTTGGCTAGATATGAGTCAAGAGTTGGGAATTGCCATACCGGACATTGTGAGCACATTATTGGACATGAAAATGTTGGTCTACTTTCGTACACAGTACTATATTGTGCATAACAAAGTGAGTGTAATCCGCTACATGTGGCCTGTGTTTGTTCTGTAGAACAGCAGCTGAACCTGTCTTCCTACTTGTACACACGAAATCTCACCATTCCTAGGAATTTTAATGTTTTCTAATGATATTGTGATTAGTTGCCCATCCATCGGTCTAGACAATTTTCGCCCTCTCTAGCCTGAAAAACCGGCCCTGTTATCTTGCATTCATAGGTAATCTCCCCTGATCTCATGGTTAATAAACGAAGGATTTACTAATCGGGTTTTGTTAAATGCCTCTCAACCGTGACCTTCCCTGGTATGCTTATGTTGGTAGCGTTTTTTTTTCAAAAGTTCGAGGACTGTCCTTAATGTCTACAAGCTTAGGAACCTGGTCGTTCCACAGAACCTCACTCTTGAATTCGTGATTGCATGTATCCTTCCACACTGGATATATTGCTCCTCAATATTTATCACTGGTTCAAACAAACAAAAAACGATTTCATCTCTGTTTTCCAGGTCCCTAAAACTTTTGTCCCGTTACGGTGAAATTAATGAAGTTGTATTTGTTGAGTGTTTTTAATTATTTTCAAGCATTTCAATGCTTCTCATACCTTTACTGACAAGATAACATGTGATTAAAGGCACTGTCTGCACCGAAAAATTGTGAAAGTCGTGTAGAATCCCTAAACTAGCTCTTAATATCAGCTCCTTGCGCATACTTTCATATAGTGTAATTTCACGCCTTGCTCGGCTCTTGGTTAATCATGAGGCAATTGTCAACGATTAGTGAAGTTCGCTTCTGCGTATTACGCTGTATAATGTTGAACATTAATTTCATCCACCCTAAGGAAAAACGTTTGCCTGAGATTTTTTTTCTTCTCCTACGCTATCGAATTTCTGTTATTTTTTCGGTCGCAGTTTTATGTACAATTTTGTAAATTTCTGAAACAGCATACAACGATCCTTGTCTTCATTGACTGATTGGTCGAAGATCAAAGATCTATTATGGGAATAACTTACAACCTCGTGCTTTTCTCGTCCCATAGAGGCGCGTGTTGTGGTTAAAAAAAACAGTGATACATACAATTTCTTGTGTGTAAAATGTCACGTGATACGGGCTTTTTCTACTGATGCACACGGATTAACTTATTTTGGAGTGCAAACTGTGCTAATGTTTCATCTAGTCTCAGCTTGAAAGAATCAATGCTTGATGCACAGACGACATGAGATGGGAGAGAGTTCCAGATCGAACATTCTGACTGACGCCGGCATTCCAATCGGCATGTTGAAACCACCAATTTGAACGGATGTCCTCTGAGATGAACGTTGGGTGATAACTTTAGCAGCGGGCGACACGGATGGTTCGGCTTTCGCATTATTTGGTATACCATAATCATATATCATCTGATGGTCGATAGTGATTGCAATATAATCCTCGCGACTGCAGTCTCTGCATATGAATCACGATTCAACCCCCCACCCCTATTCAACCATTTTGGTGGCCATCCTTTGTGGACGCTCTCGCATTTTGCAATCACGTTGTAGCCATGGATTCCTTGTCTGGATGGCGTAATCTTTGAATGGGCGAATATATGCTGAGAGTAGACGGGGGGGGGGGGAAATCGCTGACCCAAACTGGCCAATGACCCGCTTAAGTCATTTATGTCCTCACGGTTTGATTGCGTTTACAGATTATTTCAACAGTAGAACTGAAATAGTTATTCGTCACCCACCTTCCGAACAATTTATCTATTTCCTGACTGTGTCACCTAGCTGGAATCGACAAATTATCCACCACCGGATCGATTCACCTAGTGCTAGCTGGATGTGATTGATAGTCTGCAGGAAAAAGCACGAAGCTTTGATAATTAACATGTTTGGGTTTCACCTCGTGGCGGTACGATTATGAGATTCACACCACTCATGCTCCTCAAACACGTGATTCTGTCGGGCCTTGTTTTAATTATTGGGTTGTTACATAAGTTCCAGCCCACCCTTTCCTTTGCTTCACATAGAGACACCATTTCTCATCTATAGTGACTATTCTTTATAAGAAACGCTGACTGCGGCCATGGATTCCTTGGTGTCGAACGGGATTTTGAGCAGCGCTTATCTTTCTGCTTTTGGGTGAATTCGTGCGGGACCCACGTAAACCAATCCCGAGCAGTTTTGTCAGCTATAGCGTCTTCTCCATACACGGTACAAATATCTCTGGTAACTTCATTCGCTTTTAACCTCGGTTAAAGACGAAAAGGTGTCGAAAGTGCGATTTTTTGTCGACTTGACAATCCATTTAACGGTGCTAAAAGGGACAAAATAATATAGGCAAAAACGATTAATTTATTCTCGTAAAGCATAGCACGGGCTTTCTAATGGTATCTAACACTTTGCCAAACATCAAAAAGTCTTTGTAGAACAAATAGTCTCATGTAACGATGGGAACTTATGCAAAAACCTAATAATTAATGAATTTTTTCGAACACCTTTCGTTCGTGATCTGGGCTTCGGTGAACGACACTTTGATCAGCAATCTGTTTTCGCTTCTAACGAAACTCGCTGATCGTTGTTTGAACTCGTACTGATGCTCTGATGCTTTCAGATATACCGGGACTATGATCAGTAACATGTGTGACGTACACAAGGAAGTCGCAATCCATTCTCGCCTACCGTGCGTCATTTGGTGCGTACTCCGTCTACCATCTCCTCGAATATCCGATCTAGCACTGCTTGTGGCCGACGCGTGTCCTGTAGGCAGCAGCAACGTCCAGATCACATGCATCACTCATACCCTCTCGTCACAAATATGTTCCTGTGAATACTGTGCATGAGATCGATCAATTCGTTTTGGTTTACTGCAGACCCGCTTTTTGTTTACCTGTTCACAATAAGCAATTTATGAATCACTCCACAAACTTTCCCTGAAAGCACACGATCAGTTTCATGATTCTTGTCGCTCCTCAGGCATGCGTAGCCAGTAATCTCGCCCACTTCATTCACAGGCATATATTTATGTATGTAGGTATGTATATACTGTTGGTGCAGTAATTAGACAGACAAACAGATTTCTTTTCCGCGCTAAAGAACTACATGATCGCTATCAGGTTCGGTCTGATATGATGTAGTTGTTGCAAAATTTTACAGGGACGGGACCACCTACTTTAGCCCATCATTGAGCTGAGTCATCAGCATTTTGTTATTTCTTTATCGGTGTTCCATCGGGTGGCAGTGATCAAGCAGTTACACTCACTGATGTATTTCTTGGCGAAACTGGGAGATTCGAATTCTTTCCTAACCACCCAGCGTGGTTTGTCAAGTCGTTTTATTTTCATTTCGAGGCCATATCACCGGTTACTCCGTCTACTGTTTACCGCACAATCATAGAAAAGTACGTAACAGGACCTTTTTGGAGTACGCTGACGACATCGTTTGTTTGTTCGAATATCTGGAAGATGCGAAAAGAGCACTTCACAGATGAGCAAGTTCTGTCGCTCCTTTTGGCACGTGCTTTGCACCTTCAACATGCAACGTGATGCTGCAAGACTCGGTGTCACCTAGTCCCATTCTGAAACTAGACGGTCAGGTATTAGCTGAAATTGACTGCTTCTCGTACTTAGGTAGCTGTGTGACCAACGACAGTAGCGCATTAAAGGAGATAACCGCCCGCATTTCCAAGGCTCGTGCAGCGTACGCAAGACGTAAACACCTGTGACGGCGACGTGATGTTTCATTTAAGTTGAAAAGTCATGTACACTACGCCACTGGAGAAAGCCACGTGGAGGCCAGCAGATGACGTCGAGACGAGGCATGAAGAAATACACAGCGATTAGGTAGAGTAGGTGTCTCGTCTTCCTAGTGGGGTCCAAAAGATTCCGAAACCGCATGGTTGGAGACACGGAAGATCATGGCTGCGAACCGACAGCAATGGCGAGCTTGCTGTCACTTCTGATTAGACCAGAATGCTTGAACTAGTATGTATGCACAGTTGGACTGTGTACTCTGTGTGTTGACCATAGAGGTTCACTTTCTTTCCCCTTCCCTAAAATTAAATCCAATCCCTATCTTCCCTGCACATTCTCACTTACCTTGTATGCAATATGAGTTTGAAATCGATGAATGAATTCCGCTTCACTGTATCACGATGTACAATGATGATCACTCTGATGAACAGGACCTTCTTGCTGGTGGTCAACAGCCAACTAATAAATTTCTAATTATCTAAAATTTTAACTCATTCACCCACTGTCCCAAGTGCAAAGCATTAATACGCGCATTGATGGCTGGTTAAGCTGTACACTGCGCGGTACGACAACTTGAAATAAAACCACCAATTGTTTCATTACATCCGTGTATGAACTGTGCGGTATGCTACAGTTCGCACCCGATTCAATCTGAGTTCCGCTCCCCGTTCTGAACAATCTGGAAGCAACGATAGTGAATCGTAATCCGGTTAGCATACATGTGATGTCACACACACTCAGATCAAAGACACGTGGAACCACAGATTGGGTTGATAGAAAGCACAGAATTTATTTCCGAATGGAACCGCAGCGGCTCAGCGCGACTCGCGGGGAATGTCAGCAAGAGGGATGAAAGAACTCAATAAAATCGACAATGTTTTTCGTTTCAACTAAATGTGTCGGCTCGTGCTCTGGCTTCCTTCGGCCTCGTGATTTTCTCCGTTCGGATGTGCCTGCCAGATTGGTGCTGAAACACCTGACAGACAATTAGAAGGGAGAGTATAGTTATGGGTGGCTGGTTCGGTCTGCCTCGATACGCTACAACTGGTGCACCACTGCATTCAAGTCCCCGAAATGGTCATCTTCAGAAGGGCCGGAGCCGATATATCAATGCTGGTTTCAAGCTATCCACCAATTTAGTGGATATCTGTAATTTTTAATTAATCATTGCATTTGCAATAGTCAAACTGATATATCGGCCCCGACCTTTGATGGTATTATTCCTTTCTGGTTCTCGAAGTTACTGTCTTACGGGTATATAGAAGTGACTGAATCACTGATCAGTAAACGTTGTGGTGTTCCCTAGGCCATATTGCGCTTGGCTACACTACCACCTCGCTTTTGCATGCGTTGTGGCATATTTCAGTGTTTTCCGGTTCGTCATTTTAGTTGTAATTATGCTTACTGTATGCGTTAATCCACTGTTTCATTTAATGTTGATGAATGTGATACATTGTTTTTTTTATGTGCTGTGGTTTATTTTGACCCTATTTCATGTATCCAAATAAACCATAAAACCGGTTGAAAGGATGAGTTTAATCTGTCGGTGCGATTAGATTAGTGTCGTTATAAGATATTATTTTGACTTTTTCAGGAGCAGCATTTTAACTTACGTTCAAACGTCTGTTACCTTATCGCTTGACCCGTTTCTTTTTTGTTCTCCTATCTGTGTTTAGACTGCTGTGGAGCAATTACTCGGTTCCATGAAACCTCCGGACCCCGCAAGACGCATTGACAAGTCGTGTCTACACTGGACCCCTCATTCGATTGTACCTATGAACAAATCAACCCGAGGTCACGATCTGTCCTCCAAACCCTGACAAAGTCAAGTTGTTATTCTCCCATTGAGTTGCCCCCTCTTCCCTGTGCCGCACCGTGCAGAGATCCCTCCCACCCACGCTCAACAATTGTTATGACCAGAACTTGTTTTCAGTCAANNNNAATGTACAGTGTATCATTATTTTCATCCGTCCTTTCGTACGGGCGATTTCTTTTATCTATCGACCGGCGGTTTCTCACGCCTCAGTAAGCTTGTATATCCGCAACAACTCACACACAACCTCCCAATCTCTCAGTCATTATTTCACTCTCCACAATGTTCATTTTCCATTGAAATGAAAAGATTGTACCATCGGCTCAAGAGTTTTTGTTCAGTAAGGGGTAGACTGGGTTTTTGTACTAAGATTTCAGAGCAGTTGGTGGACGATGAGCTAACCAGATGGTTGTCTAAGAAGATAAATTAATTGGGCAAGAACATAACCATCGAGTCTCTCAAAAAATGGGCAAAATAATCGCTCAAGTGCGCTTTCAGTGTAGCGAAGCTGCGGGGTGTTTGCTTGAGGTCTTTCTTAATCAGGCTCAACAATTCTACAAATGAATGGTACGGAGTGACTGGGAAAATAGTCTTGTTCAGGAAATACTAGAAGCCCGATCACTTCAGTTTCGGGATAGACGATAGTTTGCACATGGCCCTTTCAACGGTATCTGTATGTGGTAGATTACCTTGAACAAACTTAGCGTAGCTCTGTCGGAAACCTGGTAATATGGTACGAGCGAGCGTTCTTATGAAAGGAGAACGAGAAACGCGACGATGCTTCTATCCTAGGTGATAAAAAAGACGCGTACAGAAAGAGCAATCAAAGAAGGGACCTTGGTGGGGAAAAACAATCAAGTGAAAAGGGGGTGAAGCACATAGAGAGGAAAGTTCGTTCCCTGCC